GTATCTAATACCACAGTTCAAAATATATGAACTTCATATATTTCATTGTATCTAATGTATAATCACTTAGATTGTAGCAGCAATTGTTTTGATAGAACACATAAGAGATGTAAAATTCAGCTCAATGCCTTTCCTCTAGATTTGAGGGGAAAACATTGATGTTGAATGTGCAGCTTTCGAACTTTTTGAATATGGGCTCAAAAAAAGGACAAAAACAAGAGAAACTTTCTTTCAATTCTTTATTTTTCTCTTGGCAAGATCTGTACTTTTTTTTTTATTGATGTGTTTGTTGACTTGTGGTAAAAACAGTAGGTTGCTAAAAGCATAGATAATTGTTATTTAGTTCTCATTAACCAAGCAGGAGGTCAGTGACGATCAAAAAGGAGGGGAAAGGGGTGGGGCAGTGAATATTACTTTTTACCTTTCTCCACCCCTGCCCCCACAGTCCACTTTAGCTCCAAATCAAACATGGCCCATTTAATAAACGATTGCAAGCTTCTCACCAAGACTCCTGCACTGTAGGCTAACTGGCTACAGAAATGAAATGTAAATTGAGTCAGAAGCTGTTGAGCAGTTAGACCCATCACCTAACCACCTAGAGAGAGGTAAACCATCAGGAGTTGTGTGAATAAATGTCAACAGCATAATACAAACATTTTCAAATCCAAACAGGGGGTTTTCCAAACCATTAAATTTAATTATTCCAGGCGACCCTGATAAACATTTCCCCAATCAATCAAATAAATGGTATGCTCAAATATAGACATCAGTTCTCTCCCATTGTCCTTATTTGTACAACATGGAACAATAAGTAGGAGTGTTACCACTCTTCCTGGATGGAATGAAAGTCCATCATAGGTAACCTTCCAGTGTTTTGTACAGTTTCCTTTACCATTTATACCTTAACATAAGTGTGAATTTTCTCCACACTGTTCTCTATACATGTCCTAAGGCCCTCACAAGGGGAATTGGCTTAACAATGAAAATCTTTTTTAAGTGAATGATCATTTCCTTCATTATTATGACCTTACTGTTTGATTCAGGGGTGATGTTGTTTAACAATTGGTTCATGCTTTAGCGTGCACTATCGAGTTATGGAGCATGCGGGAAGTTTGGAGAGCACGAAAGAAGCGTAAGAGTTGCCCGAGGCAATAGCCGAGGGCAACTCTAGCTTCTTGAGTTGCAATGATTCTAGCAACGATTCTCCATCGTGATCGGTCTGATTGATGTCAAATGGGAGCTCACCATTATTAAAAACTCAGACTAGGGTTGGTGTTGGCACACCTGAGGCTCGGCAACTGATGTTAACTGGATGCCCTTCGGTAACAGACTGGTTTATCGAAGGGTTAGTGATCTGGGGAGAAACTTGAAGTAAAAA